TAGGAGGGTGGGTGATGAGTATTGACGAGGGCACCTTTTGGGATGAGCACTGGGTGTTGTATGGAAACCAATTTGACAATAAATTTCATATATTGAAAAAAAATGTAAAAAACAAAAACAAAAAAAAACTAAATAGAGAAACTGTCTCAGGGTCTTGGGAATTATTCCAGTTCCCTATGCCTTATGTGGGAAAAATAAATAAAATTTAACAACCAAAGGGGAAAAAAAAAGATGAAAAACATATGATGAATAAAGGTCATAACTTTGAAAAAAAAAAACTCTTTTTATACAAAATACCATCATAATCACTCTTTACTATCTTATGACATTTTTAAGCTTAGCATCTTTATCCATACATTTGATTTTCCCAGTCTCCCATTCCCGAACCCCTTTATTTTATGAATTTGAAATTCACATGATCTTTCCATGTGCCTTTAAATATCAAACATATAAAAGTTTACCACATGGGTAATTTCTATACCATCTCAGCATATAAAAGAGAATTAACCACTTGATCTGCCATAATTACTATGTCAGTTAATACGTATTGACTAGCTAAGAGTCAGCTAAAAAGGTGTTTCCCAACTCAGCACTTCTTTGAATACTAATAAGATATCATTTTCTGTTAATTATGACAGCCTGCTTTGAATAAATGTTGACTTAATGAAAACTTGAAAAAAAACGAGGTTCTAAGTGTTTCTACCTTGTTAGAAAGTATTAAATAAGATACTGGTCTTTACAGGCACAAAACTAAAACCACCAATGCAGGAATCATACTCAGTTTATGAATGTATAACACACCCAAACTGGAGAACTGCCATTTTACCCTGTAAATTTACTCCTTAATATTTCAAATTCTAGAATTCCCCAGGGAAACATGCAGAAAAACCAATATACCAAAGTGGAAATACTACGATAAACAACAGATCAAGAATGCCTAAAACCAAACGTGAAAAAGCTGATCAATGGTGAACTTCAGGAAAAGTGAAGGAATAGAGTAGGCAGCAAGCATTACCATCACCTACTAAGACTGCCATTTTTTTTTATCAGTATTACCAAAAGAACCTCAAATGAAATGACAAACTGCATTTTAAGAGTGGGGTAGGGGAAGCTATGTAAAAGGGAAAACCAGTTTAATCTTTAGTTTCTTGAGTAAATAAAGCAGATAGGTTGTTCATGATGGTAGTACCGTATGATCCTTTAAACTAATTATGGGAAAAAATTTACTTTTCATCCAATAAGGAAAATAAATGAAAAAAGCAGAATTTCTATAGCTAAAAGTTATCAAACTGTAAAAACTGTAACAGAAACAGAGCATCTTTAGCTGACTGACATGTTTCTAAGTTTTTAGACAGTTTTTTAAAATCACAAAGAAAAACATGTTTAAAGTTACAATAAAGATACTTGATGAAGATATGAAAAGGTTAATCTTTACATTATATAAATATTCATTAACACATGTTAAAAGGCACAGACAAAAATTCACATGAGGGAAATTCACTCCTGAAAATTTACCTTAAAGAAGTAAATCAAATGGAAAAAATATGTAAGAAGACACTCAAAACAGTATTAAAATACTGAACACAATATAACTGTCCAGCAGGAAACTCGTTCATTAAATTGTAGAACAGCTACAAAATACAGTGCAACCATTAAAATTTAAATTACAAAAATAAAAGAATGACATGAAAAATTCATAGAACATAATGTTTGGCTAAAAATACATACAATGCAACAGCTGATATAAAAAAATGTGAAATTATACATAATTAGAAATAAACATGGAAAATAAAGAGCCTCTTCTTGGGATGATAGCACTGTAAGGGATTTATCTAAACTCCCACTGTCAACGTAATAATATTGTTAAAATAAATCTGTTTTTTAAAGTATTCTAGTTTTTGGATGCCTAAGTTCACAGGGCAAAGATGGAAAATAAAAAGAGGAATCAGGCAAGCAAAACCACCCACTGTGAAAAGGAAACCACTTTTATCACTCTACCTCGGTGCCGTTCGTCTTCAGCAACCATCCTCTCAAAAACAACAGTAACAACTTGTCGCACTGTAGCAGCAGCTGTATTATTTGTAATATTATCTTTTGTGAAGTGTAGTCGAAAACAAAGAACAATTGCCTAAAAGAACAATTTTCATTTAGTGTGAAATAAGATTGAAGAACATAATAACTATTTGTTTCATTAGACATAACCCAAAACTAAATAATTTATGTTTGGCCGTTCCAATCACAGATACCAGAAGTCCCACCCTCTTCTCTTATACAATAAAGCCACAAAAATCCTTGGATTCTGAAATAATTCAAACTGTGTAAATATACAGCCACATAAGATTTGGTTAGATAATGTGAAACACACATTTCACAACTTGGTTCTTTTTTTTTTTTTTAAGTTTATTTATTTATTTTGAGAGAGAGAGAAAGACCAGGGGAGGGTCAGAGAGGGAGGGAGAGAAAGAATCCCAACCAGGCTCCATGCTGTCAGCACAGAGCCTGACACAGGGCTCAAACTCATGAAACTATGAGATCATGACCTGGGCCAAAATCAAGAGTTGGCCGCTTAACCTAAGACTGAGCCACCCTGGCACCCCACAACTTGGTTCTTTTAATATATGTATAAAAATGTGTTATGCTTTTATTTCCCCAGAATGACTTGTTTTGCAAAGAACAAGTACTCAAAATTTGTTACATCACTAAGTCACTTGGAGAAATATAAATAGGCTAAACACATAAATGAATAAAATGATAATTTTTTAAAAGAAGTCATTCTTTATTTTTAAAAATCAACTTCAGGTTAAGTTATAATTTATATACAATAAATTCTAATCCTTTAAAGTATTTAATATGATGAGTTCTTTTAGTTATATTCCCCCATGAAACTACTGCCACAATCAAGACACAAGACAGTTCCATCACCCTAAAACTCTGCTGATGCTCCTTTGCCCTCCACATACTCCTCCGTGCTTGGCCCCAGTCAACCTCCTGGTTGCCTTTTTCATTACGGTAAGCTGGCATTTTCTACAAACACAGTCATCATTCAGTATGCACTGTTTTTTGTATCTGGTTTCTTTTACTTGTAATGTTTGTAAAATTCATCCATGTTGTTCTCTGTATCAGTAGTTTGTACTTTTTTATACCTGAGTAGTATTTCACAGTATAGGTATACCAATATTGTGTTTATCCATTCATCTGCTGATAGACATTTGAGATGTTTGCACTTTTTAGCCACTGTGAATAAAGCTGCTGTGAACATCAAATACAAGTCTCCGTAGAGACGTGTTTTCATTTACCTTGGATAAGTAACTAGAAGTAAAAAGGCTAGATCATACGGTAAATATAAGGTTAAACTTTTAAAGAAAATGCTAGTTTCCCAAAGTGATTTTACACACCTTACAAAATTTTACAATTTTAGACATTTTTTAATGTTTATTTTTGAGAGAGAGAGAAGCAGAGAGGGGGGCGGACAGAGGATCCAAAACGGGATCGGTGCTGACAGCAGCAAGCCCGATGCAGGGCTGGAGCTCATGAGCCATGAGATCATGACCTAAGCTGAAGTCAGATGCTCAACCGACTGAGCCACCTAAGCACTCCTACAAGTGAAATTATTTTTAAAAGGTGAGAAGGAAGAGTTCTTACAGGGAAAACTCAAAGCAATTCGGGAGAATACTGATAACCCCAAACACATTTTTTTCTCTCAGTTTCCTATTCTTCTATATTTTTCTGCTACTTTTCTCTTTTCCTATTCATGACTAAGCCTGTCAGCTATTCCCAAAGGACTCTGTTCAATCACCTTAACCTGATTTTAACTCTAACCTGAGGAAAATAAAGCATTAGTGGTTTTTTTAACATGCAATGTCCATTATCACAAGAACTACAGGGAAGTTGCTTTCAGTACAAACGGTACTAGGCTTTCCTCTTTCAGGGAGCTTATTCAAATACTGTCTCCAAAGCAATTATGAACTTTGACCACAGGTTTCCTACCTTAGAAAGTGCCTCATCATGAACTACCGTATTGGTTGTTAAAAGAACAAGAACTGTTTGAAGTAGCTTAAGTTCTTCAAGACTGTTTTCCATTAGCTGCCAAAGCATATTAATTATATTTCCAGCTGCAGTCTGTAAAATAATTATTTGAATTACTGTCAGCAAATAAAATATAAGGTTTTAGGTCCCTAAATAAGAAAAGATGTACAAATATTACCTCACTTGGAGAGAAGTTCTTGGTCATAATAACAAAACCTATGTTTCTGGATCTATAGGTCAAAACACATCTTTCAACTAATCTGAGATTTAAACTAATTTTTTCTCAAAAAATAAATTTCTTTAAAATGTACCATTTGAATATATGCAAACAGCAGCATGCAGTTCTGAGATGTCTAGTCAAAAAAATCAAAGCTCATTTCTACAATATGGGTATATTTCATGTGGACATTTATAAATATAGTCATGCAAGTTAATTGAGACTGAGTACTACTGTTTCATATATTATTCCCTTTACAATGTCATAAAAAAACAAAATGCAACTCAAATTAACAAAACATTTATAAACTCAATTAAATTGGACATCATTTAGAATGCTGTATTAAAGGCAAAAGAATGTATCGCTTCTATTAAAGTACCTTATGGAGTACCACAAAGTTAAAGACCATTGCACTCGAAAGCAGGATGCAGATAGACCGCTGAAATGTTTTTCAGTGTTGTACTATCATAAGGTAATTAGAAACCACTGAAATTAATGAACAACAAATTATCACTTCAGATAATATAGCAAAGTCATCATTTTTCCTTTTTAAAAATAAATATTTTCTCTTATGTGGATCCTGAGAAACTTAACAGAAACCCATGGGGGAGGGGAAGGAAAAAAAAAAAAAGAGGTTAGAGTGGGAGAGAGCCAAAGCATAAGAGACTCTTAAAAACTGAGAACAAACTGAGGGTTGATGGGGGGTGGGAGGGAGGGAGGGGAGGGTGGGTGATGGCTACTGAGGAGGGCACCTTTTGGGATGAGCACTGGGTGTTGTATGGAAACCAATTTGACAATAAATTTCATATATTGAAAAAATAAATAAATAAATATATTCTCTTCAGTGATACTGATCTATAGTACTCAATGGTGTCTTCTTAGTCATGACATGACAAAATGCACTTCATCTTTATTCATTATTCATGAGTGCTTAATAGTGAGAAAATCTGGTGATCTTTTAAAATTAAGCCATGTCCTTCAAGCACATAAATTGTTTTACATTAAATTATCAGGTATACTTCATTTTCCCCTAATGAAAACTCCCGATTTGATTCTTAAGTACACAGTTTAAATTAAGATCTTCACATTACCTCAGACACGACTTCATGGGACATGAGTCTCTGAATGGCGGCCAAACACAGCTGAGTAATCTTCGGCTCCTTGGTTCCACAACCCATTAGGAACGGCTGAACAACCTCTGAGCTGTTCTCTTTCAAAGCTTTATTTAGAACACATATAAAATAAATTATTAAATCTAATTCATAAGTAGAAATACTTTTATGTATTTACAACCAGTAATAACAATCTTAATAAAAACCACTTTATGTAAAATAAATGCCAAAACAGAAATCAAATAATAAGAGTTAAAATACTTCAGACAGATATTACAGACTCTGTATCTTAACTACCCCTTAGCCTCAGCTTTCCCATGGCCTTCTCCTAGCACTGTTTTTTGATTTTCCTTCATCTCCTGCTGCAAACTTTTAAGGACAACTTCTCAGAAGTTCTATCCTGCCTCAGAGAAGCCCTCTATTTCTTCAACAGTGCAGAGGGAGAAATATGAATAAAAATATTCTAGAGCAGAAAAAGTAATTAAAAATAGTATATACATCATCCTCATTACCCTTCTGAATGTTCAGAATCTCCACACAATCTTATTACATGCTTTGAATTTATAGAGCCCTAATTTCTTCTTCAAGAAACAAACTCATTAAAAACAGTAACATTACTCCTCTTGTTACTAAAGCATCACTTTAAATTAATTGGATGCACATGCTATAATGCCAAATCTTAATTTAACCCCTTCTACCAAGCCAATTCTTTCAGAAGTTTTAAAGTGGTAACAAAAATCTAAGAAGTTAGAAAATGCACAAAACCAAAAATTAAATTTACAAAGTGAAATTAAGTCAATACACACTTAACGGCTATACAGAGATGAATGAGACAGGTCTGCCACCCTCAGAGAATTTAAAAAGACAACATGGGATTCTAAGGAAAGAGAACATTAAACTTATGTGTTTGGCATACGGTTCTCAAAGGTACAACACCCATCAATTATTTTTTGAGGTTAAGAACTGTAATGAAGACATACAAATCTGAGTTTTAACATGTTTTTCAAAAGAAATTGTTAGAAAGTCATCCACGATCACATTAAAAACGTAAAAGCAGTGTTAACATTAATTTCATCATTTAAATCCCCACCTTTTTCTCCCAAAGCTCCCATTATAGTATGCTAAATAAAGACCACAATTTCCTACAGCATACTCTGCAAAGTCCTTCGGTATGCCAGCATAAATTACTGACTTAAGACAGCTAAGAGATGGCAAATATGACTGGCAAAGAACAGTGTTTCCAAAAGGGCTCCCCTTGCCTTATTTCCTTGATTTCCTAGGCATAAACGTTTTGATTCAAATCAAGACACAAGGTACCGTAACAATGTCTCAAAACATTTCTATGAATGATTAACAGAGGACAATAAAGCTCAAAAAATACTATTCTGAAGCAGTAAATATCCTACCATATTCAATCCTGCTGGAATTGCTGAAGTGTGAGGCTACCCCAACTCTGCTGAACATGCCTAGTTATTAAATGCCATTTAGCAAATAAAAGTTTTCAACAGTAACAAGTTGCATTTATCATTTTTATGATGTTAACATGTTTCTCATCTGAGTATCATAATAATCATAGAGAGTTTTTAGAGCATGATTTGGCTCAAGTGCATAGTAAGTGGTAAAGCCACATTTTGAAAACAGGTCTTCTAACTCCTGGTTCACTATTCTTCCCACAACATTATGCTGCCACTCTTTAAGGTAAACAGCACTTAAAGCAAATCAAAGTTCAAACAGTTACAAGTATCTCAGAGGAACCAATGATCTCCACTTTCATGCTGTCTGCCTGAAGTCTTCAGGTAAATGAAGGAAAAGAAACTGTCCTCATAGAAGGAAAAAAAAAATGTACTTTCATAGAGTCTCTGATGGAAGTGACTTCAAGACACATTCAACTGTCACACAGAAAAATCAGTGCCAATATTAATTCTGTCAATTAAACTGATACAATGCTTTATCATCACTTAGAATTGTTCCTCACAATGTCATCTATCAAGGCCATTGTATTCCCTCGTTTCTGGTAACAGTCACTCTGACAGGTGTAAGGTGATATCTCACTGTGGTTTTGATGTACATTTCCCTGATGATTAATGATGTTGAGCGTCTTTGCATATACTTGTTGGTCATCTGTAGGTCTTCTTTGGAAAAATGTCTATATAGATCTTCTGCCCATTTTATAATCAGATTGTTTGGGATGCCTCACTTCTTGAAAGAGTACTTCCCTATTGTCTCTGAGATCATCTTCTAAGCCAGTGTCACCCATTCTGCACATTTTGATGCTGGTGCTTTTGTGACCTTACCATTAAGATGTCAACAGAAAATTTCTGTACAACAACTAGGGTGACAGTTTAAATAGCAATTAAACTTACAAGTTATCAACAATGCACATAACTCAAATGACATTAATAGTAATATGAACCTATAAACAAGTTCACATTTGCACCGTAAATGACAGCTACATACTACCTGGCCCACAATGATTGTAAGATGCCATCAACTGTAAGATGTATATCAATTTGGGCAATATTAAAATGTGAAAAAACAGTGCCTCTTAGAAAGAATAACATAAAGTGAGTTTCAGCAAAACGTTGTATATGGGGGCAGTCACAGTTACCCAGGTGTCTCAAGTTAGGATAAATTAAAATAGTATTAAAAATATTTTTTATGAATTTTATTTTAATGTAACAAAGAAATCCAACATCCATCTCTTGCCTCCTTCCCATTCTTTCTCCCAGTTTATATGAGAATAAAATAATAAAAAAGGATGTTTCAATGTTATCAGAATAAATCAATAACAAAAAAAATACAACGTATTGATGTGTTTTGTCTTTTGAAACACAGTGTGAAAAAAATGTATCTACCATATCCAGATCACAATGCAGTAAGACAGAAATCACAACAAAAAAAAGTTAGTTTTTTTTTTTCTTCTTGTAAAAGTGATAGTAGTCTTAGGAAACAGAAATTAGCCTGCTCTTCTAATTGAGAGATAGATGCTCTTTATATACAATAATTTTAATGACATGTTATTTTAAATACAGCTTTATATAAAAACCTTCCTACGGGCTGAGACTTTAGAAATCATGAGGAAAAAGCTATATAATGATATAAAGACATCTTGCTTTAACTATTTTTTAAACTCATTCCAGGAAATTAAGAAGAAAAGGCTCAACTCTTTTTAATGAAAACTCTCTATTTCAAATTCCTTCAAAATATAAAGACAGGCTTTTTAGGGGGTAAGGAAGAAAAATTTATTTTTTTTAACCTAAGTCCCTTAATAAATATGACTCCTTTAATAGAATAACACTGTTGGATAAATGTATTTTATTTCCAAATTTTATAACTGTGAGATCAAATGATACACTTTCACACACCTGAAAGAGGTCCAGCAGGTCCCCATATCCTAGGGGTTTCCTTGCTCTGAACAGTTTCACTGCATAATTGTAGTTTTTATCCTGGAAAGAAAGAATTAAACTAGGATACCCCACTATGAATCACATTAATAGGGGTTAATAAAAGTTTCATCATGATAAATTTTAATGGTCATTAAATAACAAATTATAATTCTTGTGAAAGAAATAAAATATGATGTAGATATGATTGCTACCCTCAAAATCCCTTAAAATTTAGTTATGGGAAAGACTGATATTTCTAACAAAATTTAAAAAAATTTAATGGTTCAAATAGTCTGAAAATACTTTAAATGAGTCAAGAATCGAAGGACAAATAAAAGTATGGGCAGTTTCACATTAAAAGCACATTATATGAAAAGGAAGGATTATTTAAAAAATGATGCTAGCTATTACAATTGGTTAGTAATTTTACAAATGAAAAAAGAATCTAGGTCCTCACATCACTCCATATATTATTAAGAAAAAATCAAACAAAAAAACTAAAAGAAAATAAAAATGACTATCACTATGTGGAAGGAGGACTTCCTAAGTGGAGAGCAACAAATCAGAAAAATTATGTTATGTAAAAATGAAAAACATCTCAATTAAAAATTAAAAGGTAAATGACCTGCAGGAAATACAAACATGATGGGAAGTTAATACCTTTGCTATAAAACAGTTCAAATAATATAAGAAAAACACAAAAACTGAAAGAAATAAATGTAAAATGAAAAAAGGAAGTTTAATAACCTCAAAGGAAAATGTTCAATATTAAAAAGAAGTATCAATTAAAATAAGAAGTCATTTACCTGTTCAATTCCCAAAAACATTTTTTAAAACAATAACCAGGCAAGGATGTTATAAAAATACACTCACCTATTACTGCTAAAGGCATAAACTTTTATCAGAAAGCACTGTGGTAACAAATTCCAAGAACCTGTTCATACCCTGTGATTTAATAATTTAATTGCTAGAAATTTACCTTAAAAAAATAATTCTAAATACTGAAACATGCCTCACATAAAGGAATGGTTAATAAGCTACAATCACTGGCTAAAAAATATTATGAAGCAATTAAAAAAATACAAAAGATACCATCAAAAAAAGTATTTATGATATAATAAAAGGCAGAATACAAATTAAAGTTTTTAAAAGTTTAAAAAAAATCCAAGGAAAAAAGAATAAATAAGAACACATTATACCATAGAGAAACTATGTAATCTCTCTCACCCACTAGGTTAACCTGCACACAAGGCATTAGTTACAGCCCCCTCGGTCTTCTAGCCTGGATTATAGACACCACCTACCAACAGACCTCTACTTTACTGATGGTACATTGAAATACACCTTGCACACTGCTGGGCGAGTTTACATAAAAATGTTAAAATGAATGTGTCACTTCCTTGATTCAAACTCCTTCCATCCAGCAGCTCAGAAAGTCACACAATGGCAATACCTGAATAGTGTATCCACATAGACCACACTGTTTTATACCTCATATATTTAAGTAATCTGCTTTACTTTCCACTTCTATACCTTATTTGTTGGGCTAACTCCTTTTTAAGCTTTGAGACTCAGCTTAAGATTCCCAGACTGGGTTGGGTGCCTGCCTTCTCTATGTTCTCATAATAAATAAGCCTGTCTATACTTCCATCTTGGCATTTACCACCACACTATGAAAATTCTCCATTTAAAGTCTGTCTCCTTCATTCTTCTGTTATCTGGCTGATATGAATGAAGTATGACAAAATTCATCTACTTGAATCATCATAACATGTAAAATTATGGCAAAGACTGAAAAGTAGAAAAACACACTAGAGGTAGCACTGACAGACTTACTCGCATTTTGGAATGACTCACTCACTATTGGCCTGCGCTAAATGAGGGCTTACTATTTCCTATGTAATGTGCTAACTTCTAGCAATATAAGGAGAATAAGATATTGATCCTGACCTCAGGAAGTATGTCCTCTAGAAGAAAAAATTTCTGGCAAAGGACTTCAAAAGGCAAATGGAATGAAAGGCAGGCACAAACACACTTTTCAAGTATATTTCTTATATTTCCATATAGACTACAGGTGAGTTACACTACTCATCTTTGTATTTCTTCCAGTGATTCTTACATAATTCTTTCCTTATTAAGAATATATTATGATATATTCTCTAGATATTTGTAAAATATCACAAGCATATGTATTGCTAAAATAGAAAATACTAAATAAAATCAGCAGATAAATTACCTTTTAACATCAGAAAAAAATTCCAAAGTATATTGTTCATTGCTACTTAAAGATGTTTTAGTAACAAGACCATGGAGATATGAAAAAGATGAGGGAAACTGTGTGAGAAAAGAACACAAATCATACACAGTGATCATCTACGTAAAAATTCTATTTGTATACTGACTGTGGCTGAAAGCAGCCATAGGTAGATGTAACCACTACGGTTCTGAATATGGGTTAAACACAATTTTAAGATATCACAACCTCGTTGGTTTCGTTGTTTCAAATATTCAAAAACAGATTCTCTGTTTATGTAATTTTTGTATAACACAAGCCTTCTCAGTCAATTTCAAGTATACCGTAAACTGGCTTAATAAAAACATTTGTAATATATGGTAGTCAAGTGTCAGGTTAAGGCATTTGGCCTCGTAAGTGAAGAACTGGATGTTGCTATCTCTCATTTGCAGAGTTTTATCTTGAAAGGAAAAGGAAATGTGGAGATAATGATCTGTATATTTGAATCAATGCTGACATTACCTGGCATAGCATTCCCACTTATGTCAGCATTCATGACAGCAGTGAAAACAAAGAAAAATAAACATTAAAGGAGGATGCTTAAGAGACGGGGAGATGTAAAGCAAAGATTTATTCTGCAATGTAAATAACCTTCCCTTGGAAAATAAATCTCAGAAAACTAAAATTGGCTAGAAATCTGTGCTAAGTATCACTGATCAGACTAGTTGATCCTAATTAAGGATTCTGATTTTTATAGCAACCCTTTGTATTTTTGGAATATGTAGAGATATCTGAGAATTCAATATCCAATTTCATTTGAGATTCCTCCATTGTTTGATATCTTTAACATCCATGAGAGCACAAAAGTAGTAATTTACAGTCCCTACCACCATAGAGAAGTAAACACTTCTCAGGAAATGAAATTTTTTAAAAAGTCAACTAAAAATTGTTTTTAGTGTTAACTATACTCTAATTAAGCAGTTTAGAAACTATATATTGACTAAACTCTTTCCTTGTTCTTAAGAGCCCTTGATTTTCAAGATGCTAGTGGTCTAAAAATGTATACATTTTAAAGTATCAGTTGTTATACTTGGTAAAAAATGCTAGGAAATAGTGTAAATGCTAATACAGTCCTCAAGTACATGGCCCTGGAAACTATGGACATTAAAGCATGAACTATTAATTGTATGCGCATAAAGATTTGTTTTAGTTTGATTTGAATACAGCTAATTGAATTAAAATGCAATTAATAGCCCCCTATATATTAAATGCATACTGAGACAAAATTTTTCTTACTCCTCCTTAAGATTAACCAATTAGACACCTTACTTTAGTATAGAACTCTGCACCAGACAGCAATCCTCTGAAGAAATCAGTCTCTTTTTAAAATTTTCCATCAACTACAGACCCAATGAAAACTTCCACTGTTGGAGAAATGATTAAAGACTAACCATGATATTAGCAACTATGGTAGCAAAAGTTATTATCTGTAAGGATATTCTAATACGCCTGGCCAACTTAAAAATATCCAGATCATAATTTATCTTTAAACATTAATGTCCTCACAGTTGCTAAATCCACCCAACATGCATCTCCCAAACCCACTAGCCCACCCTCCCAATCCAACCACACCTACCTTTGCCTTTACCCACCACTTTCACTATACCCCTTCTCAAAATGCACACAGAGCATTATTCAATGCTGTGAATAATGTTATGAAACTATATGGTGTTTTGACACAATGTTCAAAATCAGAGAAGAAGCTGTGAGAAACAGATGCAACACAGGAGAGCTCACCCTATGGGCACATGTCCAGCAAAGCTGCAAGCCTAAGTGAAATCCGCCTTCCACCCTTAAACTGCCCCCCAAAAGTCTTCATTTCATTTTGTAATAGTCTTTGAAATTCCACCAATTAGAGCTTTTCTGGTATCCTTTTTTAAAAATGTAAAGAGATTTATGAGAGTTAGAGAGATTCGTCACTATTTGGATTTTGGGTAAATTAACTTAATAGGACTATTTTTCTCCTGTAACCAGCTGAGACTAATAGCACCGCTGGAGCTGGAAATGCAGAACGAAGAATCAGTGAAGTAAGCAATGATTAAGTATAAACACCTGGGAGGGAGGGGCTAGTGTGGAAACCTCACATTATCACGGCAGCATACTGTAGCAGGAAGAACATGCCCTGGATTCTCAACAGCCAGGGGCCTCAGTCTAGTTCCACCATTTATCATATGACCTTAGTCAAGTAACTTAATCTCTTTGCATATTGATTTGCTCTACTATAACATAAAAACATTTCCCCACAAGGTTGTCTTTTATAAGACAAAGTGGCACGAATGTCTCACATGTAACAGATTCTCAGAAAATCCAGTTTCCTTCTTTTCCATGTTCATTACAGAGGCAAGAACAAGAAGGCACCAAAAAAAAGTAACGAGTAGACTATCAAAAGAGTGCCAAAGACAACTCTTAAAATTCCTCCTTGAAAACCAGGTTCAATCACGAGAATGTAAGAAAACATTTTCTTCTTTCTTCCACCCTACTCCCACTCTTTCTTCATGACCATACTGTCTTAGTCCTACGATTCAAAACTCATATAGTACTACTAAATTTATAATACTACGCTATCACCTGTTTATATTATACTAAAGATAAAATAGATCTTGGAAGGTGGACTGAGAACCAACCTTTTATTCAATTCAATACAACAAATATTAATTGAATGCCTTTTATGGGTAAGGTGTGTTTTAGGTGACTGAGAAGAAGTGGAGGAGAATGCAAATCCTTGCCTGTAAGGAGTTAGTAGTTTAAAGCTTTCTAATTTCAGAGAATTTTATAACATTCATCCTTGGCAAACCCAATTAGTTCATAAGTTAGGGACTTTTACATATTCTTTATCATAAATAGCATGCCAGGGCACAGAGGAGAGGCTACAGAAAACTGTTGGCTGTTTTTTGTTGTTTTAAAGTGTGCACTTTTACTATTAGTGAAATTTTCATTAATTGTTGAATTTTTAATGCAAAAAATTACCTGCCAAAATTTCGGTGTTTCGTGCAGCTATTGTTTTAACTTTTATTATTCCTGATTCAGCAGCCTGTAAGAATAAAAATAATTAGAACATAAAACTTACTATCAACATGGATTAGCTAGGGAAAGAAATATATATGATCACTGTTACTTTTATTTACAAAACTTCAAATACTAAAGCCTAGTAGTGCCATATACATTATAGGTCGTAAAATATGATTCATTTGATTGTTCACACGCAAGCTCGGCACTACAGCACGTCGCCCTTCTCTGCCTAAGGCACATCTAATCCCTCATGAATTGAAGTGTTCATAAAATATAAAAATAATAAACAGAAACAAAGCCTAATAAAAAATTAGGTTTCTCTTCCCCATTTCATACCTCCTCCGACCATTAAAAAAAAAAAAAAAAAAAAAAAAAAAAAAAAAAGCCAAATACCGCAAAATCCAGTAAAACCTTTTTGGATTCAAAGACACTGAATAACCAAGAACTTTATTATTACTTTTAGTTTACATTTTTTAAACAACCATTAGATTTTTATAAGGTACCTAAAACGCTTCACGAGAAGTATGTTTAGTGGGCAGTATTTGGAAGTTATATAGCATTTTACAAAATGCCACAGAATTGTGCTGTCCAATACAGTAGCCATTAAGCACTTTATGTGAGGTTAGTCTGAACTCAGCTGTATTCTAAGTATAAAATACACAGATTTTGAAGACTTAATATGGAAAAGAAATGCAAACTATCCCTTAAATATTTGCACTGATTAAATGTTGAAATAATATTTTGAACATATTGGGTTAAATTACATATTATTAAAATTAAATGCCCCTGTTTCTTTTTACTTTTTTAATGCAATTTAAAATTACACATATGGATTACATCTGTGGTCCACATTTTATTTCTACTGGACAGTGCTGACATATAACATTGATATATAACTTCCATCATAGAAACTCAGAACATTTTTACTAGCAAGAACCATGCCTATTTTATACTTATACTGGTCTCCAAAAATAATATATCAATATTCATAAGCTATATATCTAAGTTGTCCTATTAATTTGCTTGCTACTTGTTCATTTATTTTGTTATCTCTTATTGCTTACTAAGGGACAAGTGGTAGCAGGTTCTAAAGGTTTAAAAATATTAATGGAATAACAGCAGTGTCCTGTGGGTTCTTAGCTTGAGTACCAGTGGATTAAAATAAATAACACATTGTAGGTTATCCTATGTATAGCAGACCTTCGTCACTTTGTTGGCTTCCAAGCATGTGAAGCCCTTGCCTGTGTCTAGAGATTTCCCAACTTCATGAGTTTAGCAAGATGAGTAAGCAAGTGGAACTTATCTCCCACTATTAAAAATTGAAAATGCCAGATACCTGGCTTTCCCACATGGCCTGGCAGCTTCTTCTAATCCAAACAGACACACCTACCAGGGATTTTGAATATGGAGGCTAATGGCAAAGAAAAGCAGAAACAAGACAGAATTCTTTCTGATGACAGCAGTAAACTTCACTTCTGCTTAAACCAGCCAGTCAGCTTTCACTGCTCACAACCAAGAAGGCCTTAGTTCTACAACTTTAAGAAATGGAAATGTCCCAAATTAAATTAATATGGCTACAAGCAGAAATATAGTCAAAATAAATTACTTCAGGGAAAGATTACTGATTTTCTGATAATTTGCGGGGAGTACATATTAGAGACACCAGAAGCTTAAAAAAATCCTTGATGCCCAGGTTGCAATACATTCCAAGGAATGCCAGCGGGAGCTGGCATCAGTATTTTTTCAAATCTTCAGGTGAGTCCAATATGCAACAAAATTTAGGAGACAGTTGCAATAATGTAGGCAAAAGATGATGGTGGATAAGCTCAAGGTAATAGTGACTGAGATGGTAAGAAGTCAGATTCTGAACACATTTTAGATGTACAAACCATAGCACATTTATAATAAAGATTTGGAGAAAGAAAAATCAGACAAAACAAATACAAAATTCAAGGACACTGAAATTATTATCTATACTTTGTTATACTCACATATCTCATCTCAAACTCTGTTGGGTTTGTTACAGGGCCATTCTGTGGTCACTGAGATTTCTTCTGCCATGATTTTCAAGTTCTCCCCATCTTCACTATAACCATAGGTACCCCGTATATGTTCAAATTCAATTATTTCTTTCTGCTTCATTTTCAACAAAAATTGATCACACTGAACCATCATCATAAATAGCAATGTCATTTGTCCTGACTTTCTGGAATTCTAGCCAGCCTGACCTTCTTAACAGTTTCCAAAATCAGTCCTATGGCATGCTAGATTAGTATCTAGATGTCACTAAAAGATTTCAGATTTGCCAAACACTGTTTTGATTTCTTGAGATTAATTAAGAGTTGACCCATGTCTATATCATAAATAAGTACAAATAAGTATAAATAAATAAGTTGTAAGGAGTATAAAATGTTTACCAATTATATTTACACATATACACAGTAAGGAAAAGGAATAAGAACATTTTTTAAAGTTCAATAGTTCCAAAGTAGTGGTTTAAAAGATACATAAAACCAGTGTTTTCTTTCCTAAACACACCAAAAAAAACCACCAAAAGGACTATTTGTTGCCTTAGATATAATTAGACCTATCACATAGTTCCTCATTTCTTACATGCAGGTTTCTACTCTCAAATTTTGAAACTGTAACATCTTATTCTCTAGGCACACTGTGTTGCTGGAAAGTTTCAATATCAATGTTTATTGACAACACATGTATATCAGGGTCCCTCTAACCACTGCAGTCTTGCTTTATACCGAAGCCTAGCTACATCTTCAAGTGTCTCAAATAAATGGAGGTATTCAGACTCAGATTTCCTTCTCTTTATCAAGGACAGTCTATGTAAAGAAGAGTCTTTAACTTCTTGCTTTAAAAGTATCCCCTACTCTGAACAGGTATCTTGTATATCCACAGGTTAACTACTCAATTATTTTAAACATAGTTCTTTTTTATGAATTGGCCCTCATGCATAAAATATTTAAAAAGAATAAGAAGGAGGAGAAGAAGGAGAAGAAGGAGAAGGAGAAGTTGTTGTTGTTGCTGAAGTTGACAAAAAAAAAAAAAGAAAGAAAGAAAGAAAAAAAAGAAAAAAGTTGCCAGTTCTGTGGACTGGATAGAGATGACATAGGTTAAGGTGTGTAGTCTAATATCTCCATTCCTGGGTATTCCTGGGGGGAGGCAATCTGTGAGTTTGGGGAAAATACCAAAAGTCTTAAAATACACAGCAGTATTTAATGCTTGTTACTCTTAAAATTAATCTCTCTCAAGAAATACCTTTTCTTTTCTTCAATATTCTTTGATTACCCAAATAGACATACTCCCCAGGGACTTTGAATAGGGAGGCTAGTAGCACAAAAAAACAGAGACAAGAGAGAATGTGGACTCCTCTTCCAAGACTGTCTAGAATATCTTTGACCTCACTTCTCACTCAGTAAACTTTTCCTGGGCAAAAATAATTCCCTGGTTTCAATTACTTTCTAAATACTGTAGACTCCCAAATTATATTCCTGTCTCCTAAACTATAGGACTTACTAACCTAAATGTTTAAAAGGCACCTTAGATTCAAGATACTCAAAACAGGTGTCATCCTGTCACCCCCTCTACACACTTCCACTTCAGCCCCAGAAAAAACCTGTTCCTTTTCCTATAGTCTCTACTTCTCTGAACAGCAGCAGTATCCATCCAGTCACTGACTAGACATCTGGGGTTTCTCTCTCATCCCACAAATCATATCAGCCACAAAGGCTATGTAGGGAACATATTTTGTACCCTTTCTCTCAAATCCCACTTCTGCACCTTCATTCAAACTGCTGGGGTGTCTGGGTGGCTGAATCAGTTGGGTGTCCAACTTTGGCTCAGGTCATGATCTTGCAGTTTATGGGTTCAAGCCCTGCTTCAGGCTCTGTGCTGACAGCTCGGAGCCTGGAGCCTGCTTTGGATTGTCTCCCTCTCTCTATGACCCTCTCCCGCTCACACTCGCTCTCAAAAATAAACAAACATTAAAAAAAAAAAAAAAAAACTGCTCATTACCAACCTAAACTAAAAGATTTCTGGACTTAGAATCTTGCCTTCCATTCATCCATTGACTCAACTTTTCAATGGTTCCCCAGTGCCTATCCCAACTAGTGTTTCTCAAAACTGAGTAGTTTAAGGACTTCCTTTAAAAAAAAAAAAAAATCATGAACCTACCCAGTTACTGATAAATTTAAGTTTGTATAAACTTACTAGGAATAAATTCCTATTTTTACAGCTCTTAAATTATAGTTATATACAAGTTATATACAAACCCAAATCAACACTAATGCGACAAATAATGCTTTGCTGAAATTAAACCACTGCTCACAAAATGAAGATAACTGTAGGCTTAAAGAGCAGGCTCTCCTACTTTTGGTACTATAAGAGCAGTGACAGAAATAATTTCTTCCATCAATTTTTTTCTCTGGTAACTATGAAAAAGCCTTTCCATCTTTGTGGGCTGTCTATGGTTTGTACCGGTAACACTTTATCCCACTCATCTCACTACACGTCTGTTCCTCCATTCTAGCTATATGCCCTATAAGGACAAGAAATCTATTCCATTTGTCGCTCCATATCACTAACGTCTATCACAGTGCCTGGCACACAGGAGCTACATAATAAATGCTTCTAAACAAAAGTATTACAAGTTCTAAGTAGAGAAGGAGACTCTACTACCCACTAATTAAAAACCCAGAGGAAATCCGATCCAGGTATGCACAAGGCCGTCAGGGCTGCTGGTCCACCTTTCTGCCATTCTCTTGGTTCCGTCCTGTTCCATGGGTAGGTCCATCCTTTGGCCACTTCCAAACTTGCCAATAAAAACAGTTGCAGCCATTCTACATTTCACAATTTTATATGAGAAAGGCCTCTTTTAGCAGCTTTTTAAAAAGGAAGAGGAAACTCCTTGTCCAGAAGCACTCACTGGCATTATGTAACTTGGACAGAAATGAAGGTGGGGCTGGTGACGGTGGGGAGGGTTTAAATTAGATTAAACTAATCAAGGTA